GAAAATTCATCCCCAAGTTTGCCGCTAGGCTATTGAGGATTGGTTGACCTTTTGGCATCATCACCCCAGCCGGCGCCCACTCCGGCATGTCCACAAGCCAGCGACAGCGTTACATGACTGGCCCGCCCATCACCGCCAGCCAAAACCCCACCCCTGAACTGATTGTGGCTTTTAGGCATCATCGTTTCTCTTGTTAGCAGCCGGAACTGGGGTGCCCTGTTCCCGGTCTGGTGATGATCGGGGAGGAAAGGTGGGCGACTCGCTGCTATCATACCACGCCGGATAGGGATTGTGGTCCAGAGAAGTCCTGCTGTCATCAGTGGCTCCCTCCAACATCACCAAGGTACAACTACCTATGTAAGTACCCAAATACCTTGGGCACTGAGAGGAGTTGAGGTCTGGTGTAACCGGCTGTACATGCGGCTGGCAAGACTCTGTGCTCCCAGTGAATCTCAAGCTCGCCTTCAGGGGACTGGTTGGAAAGTGATCGCACCGCACTGACTGATGCCGAATATCCCCTCTCTTCAAAGTTGGGACGACTCCAAAAATGACGCGCGGTGTCGGAAAGGTTGCCCGCCCGGTCGGAGTGGCGGTGGTGGTGGGTGGGCTTGTGGAGATCCCAGGATCTGGGAGTACCATGGGATCGAAGGAAGACGCAAGACCCGTCAATGGCGACGGCTAGACTGTAGGCTCCGCTCTTCACACGACCTCAAGACTGGCATATTGAGGAAACACCTCTTGTTTCGACTGCTCCCTTGGTTGATCACGTTTCACAACGTGATTATCACTTTCCTCATTGGACTCATAGTTATGGATTATGATTGACCTTGACTCTCAACTGAAGTTTAATGTGTTTCGGCCTGTTGAATCACGGGTAGTGTTAACCTTCCTGTTTTACTCCAGTAGTGGCATTCTCGGGAACCAATAACTAAGGTACCTAGGTAGGTTGTTACCCTATTGAAACCTAGACTCGAATCAAATCCCGATTAGCATACGGCCGATGACCACCCTCTGAGCCCTCCTATGATCAGGGCACTATGAGCAAGTGAATCTACATCTCCGAAATAAATTATCTTTAGGTAGTTAGGTACTTTAGTTTAATTACCGCCGTTTCTTCGATGTACCTTACTTGATACGAAAGTCATCTCCAGTCCAACCCCCAACACGCATTAACTCGCCAGCTTCCCCAAATCTTCCACATTATGAAGTTTTCTCCCTATGCTTATAAATTGAGTCTTCATCCATGGTGTCACGGAATGACCCCGAGGTGGCCAGGGCGGCCACAGCCGACAGCGCAGGACGCCGGCAGCCAATCGCTTAAGGACCAATAAGAACTGGATTATCACCAGTTGTCAGTGATAATGGACGATTATCACTAGTTGTCAGTGATAATGGACGATTATCACTAGTTGTCAGTGATAATGGACGATTATCACTAACAGAGTGGTGATACTAGATAGTATATAGTCACTCGTACTGGAGAGCTCTGGGAGTTCTCCAGTTAGCAATCACAACTACAGTTCGCTACAAGCTCGAAAGCCTACTGTTGAGACAAGTCTTTGTTGTGCACCCTTTGGCTGCACCGAACCTAAGCACCCTTGAGAGATTACCTTCAACCGAAGCTGAACCCTAACAGGACAGGGTCCTGAAGTAGGTTCGTCACACATGGCAGCGACTTTTCACAACAACCCCACCGATGTCAGCGAGGCCGATTGAATGTTACCTAGTCAGGCTTTAAATACGAGTCTACAGGGGTTGCCATTGCCAAATCTTCTCGATTTCTGATGTATTTTGGATTTGGGACAAGTGCAAAGTTTTGATAAGATAGTTATGTTTGTAGTTAGATGGTAAATAATGATTTGAAAGCAAAGCCCGGTGTCACGGGCACAGCCCGTTCCTTGTAGGGTTAGGGTTGCACGGCTGAACCCCGAGGTGGGCTGTACGTAGCTCTGCGCTGGTCTGTGCGCAGCCACAGGGTTTTCCCTGAGTGCGCCTCGCCTCCCACATTCGGTTCCTCGTGCAACCACGCAATACAAGAGTGACCGTGCCCGCTGCGCGCGGGCCCGCCAAAGGAAGCCTGGAGGAACGGGCCGGCGCAGGTAACCCATAGCGGCATCAGAATATGGTTGGTCGATCAGTTTTAGGACGGTTGACGAATGTTGGGAAAGCAAGCAAAAGCAGTTGTTTGGTCAATCTCAAAATCTAGTCATACAGCCGCGCCTTCTTTCTTCCCGCTGTGGATCTCTTGCTTCTGGCCGGTTCCGGAGAGCTTGGTTCCTTTCTTTTCTTTGTCGGGGTCCTGCTGCTCGAGACCAGTTGAGCGTCCAATAGTTCCTCTGTGTCCGAACCATCGTTCGAGTCATCGCCATCTAGATCAACGGTTAGGTGAGCCGTGGGTCTGGAAGGCGGCGATACATACCTGAAGATGGAACTGTGAACGTCGGGGCAGGGTCGGCGGTGATTGGAAGCCACCGCTGCTTTAGGGCCGGCTACTAGTGCGGTTGTTTTGCGTTCTGCGGTCTTCGGGGCACGGCTTGGTGACGAGAATGGGTTTCTGCTTGCGACTCCTCCGGGGCCAGCTGGGCGTGGTGTCGTAGGTGACTTGTCGACAAGGTTCGATGATTTTGAGGTGGGTGTATTGTTGGTAGACAAGGAATTCTGCCGAATGAATTCCCAGTTGTCGGGAAGAACCACCAGGATTCGAACGCTGGAATCGACTAGCCGAGGCCTTCGGATTAGGTCGCGGTCTAGAACCCCCAGGAGTCGAGCACTGCATGCGATCCACGAGCCTTTAGGAAAGGGGTTTGCGGCGGTCCACATCCACCCGGCCAGAGGCTTCCAGGGTTGCTGGTCGACGCGGAAGAGAACGAGGACGTGGCATATGTGTATGCCCTCGCGAGGAGGGCGGTCGTTCTCTGGCTGCAAGTAAGACCCGAGTTTGGCGAACACCAAAGTCTTGACCAGCGGCTCCGGCCAGACTCCTTGCTTGATATGGAAGGTATCTAGCTCGACGGGGCCGGCAAAGGACACATGTGCTGAAGTGCTTGGCCAAGGAGCTGTCTGGTCGGGACCACCGAGCTGGCGGGGGATGACACTTGGAAGTGTTAGCAGCCAGGTCCTGCTCCAGCGCAAAATAATGGGGCGTACGGAGTCAAGCCGCCATCACTGGGCAGTGTCAGCGCCACTTGTACAGACTGCGATTCGTCTGTCTCCTATCTATTAACGCCTACGCCTTGGAAGGTAAGTTTGAGCAGGACGAGAAATTTGTAGAGGTAGGTATCAGGGTCCTCTTGGCGTAAAAGAAAACTGCTTACAAGTCACATACAGAAACGCAGTCCTGCACCTCGCCCTCTTCGTTCCATGGGAAGGTTTCAGGCTGAGCCAGCGGACGATGTACCAGGACTTTGGCGATCGCTCGAGGGGCAGCTGGGCGCCCGAATCCGCTCACACGTCCAGAATATCGCTCTGCTACGCGTCTCGGCGGACGATGCCCGTGCTGACCGAAAGATGCAAGGGCTAGAACAGGAAAACGAAGACGTCGTCGACGGGTTTGACTTTGAGGACCGGGAGGGGGACGATGACGGCGTCGGACTGGATGGTGGGGGCATCGATCCACAGGCCCACTACGAAGCCTTCTTGAATGTCCTTTCAGCGGTTCGAGGTAGCGAGATCAAAGATATGACAGCGACTTCGGCGCTGAGCCGCTTGGACCAAGAGGCGAGGGCAGTGGACCCAAGCCAGGACGACAACAATGCTGCCCAGCGTGGTCGCTATTTCTATACCATGCTACAGGACCTCCAAGACTCGCCGTTCCGCGGCATGGGACTGCCCAGCCGCGAGGAGATCGACGCGGTATTGAAGGTCCAGAAGAAAGAGGACAGCAACGTGACGGCGAAGATCCAGGGCAGGCAAACGAATCCGTCTTCTGCGCATGTCGGCGAGCCACACGGGAGCCCACGGTTGCCCGTTCACGGATGCGAAAGATCTCCAGAAGGGGTCGGTCCGGGCGGACAGATGCGGCTCGAGCTCGGACGTTATGCAACATACGTCGATGTGGCCTTGGGTCTCACAAGGCACTGGACCCTGAATAAGCTCCAGTCGATGGCAGTCTTGCTACCGGCGGCGTTTCTTGACGAGCGCGGCACACGGCTGCAGGAAGAAGGGGGTCGGCAGCATTTCCAATACATCGGCGGCGAGGGCGGCACCGGCAAGTCTCGCGTCATACACGCCATCAAGGACATGTTCCGGCTGAAGGACGGTCTCCACACGCTGCTCCTGACGGGCGCCAGCGGTAACGCGGCCGCGCTTATCGGCGGAGTGACGCTGCACTCGGCGGCGAACATTGCGTTTGAGGGCAGGGCAGCGACAGCAAAGAACGTCTCAGAAGAAGAGAAGCTGCGGTGGAAAAACATGATCATGCTGGTTATCGACGAGATCAGCCAGGTGGGCGGTCTCACGCTCGCGGCGGTGGACAGCCGCCTGAAGCAGTACAGAGACGACCACCATCGACCGTTCGGCGGGATCCCAATGGTCATGTTCTTTGGTGACTTCTTCCAGTTCGACCCCGTCCTGCAGACCAGCCTCCTCTTGCCAACGCCTAGGGACCCCGGTGGACAGAGACCGGACAGCTCGGCAAAGCACTTAGCAGCGCATAAGCTGTTCCTCCAGTTCGCGAACGTCGTCATCCTCCGCGAACAGGTCCGCGCGGCCGGCTGTGCAAGGCTGCGGGGCTTCCTCCGGCGCCTGCGCAGTGGGGAGCAGACCGAGCTGGACTTCCAGCGGCTGAGCCAACGCGTCTATACACCGTCGTGCGAGTCCTCCTTCGTAGACGGCCTGAGAGCCATCACGCCTCTGAACCAAGACCGGTGGGACCTGAACATGGCGGCCGTCGTCCAGTGGGCTCGTGCCCACGGTAAGCACATCTCAGTCTTTGCGGCCAAGCACGATACTGAGTCGGGGAAGCGATTGAGTGCGGGGGACCTATGCCACGTGCTCCGCTACGGAGACGACTCGCAGCTGCCGACCCCCGGCCTGTTCTTCTACGCCCAAGGGATGCCGGTAGTGGTGACTCGGAACCAGTTTGTCGGGCTAAAGGTCGTCAACGGGGCGCCTTTCAAGGCCGTCGACATCTTTCCCGACCTCGCCGCCGGCACCATCGCCCTCGCCAGCGATGTGACTCTTCATCTTGGACCGCCGGTGGCCGTCCTCCTCGAGTCAGACGACAGCGCGGGCCTCGCCATCCCCGGGCTCCCCAATGGCACCATTTTAATCAAGAGCAAGACGGTCGCCATCCCGAGCCAAATGCGGGGCAAGGAAGGCAGATGGAGGGGCAAGCCAGGTTTCAGGTGGGTCACCCACCGAACGGGGCCTCTTTGCACCCCGGCCTTCGCCATGACAGATCAGAAGAGCCAGGGCAAGCAGTTCTCCAACGTCCTCGTCAACCTCAAAGGCGTCCACTCCAGCGGTACGGTGACTCGACCCAGCTTCATGAGCTTGTACGTGCAGCTGTCGAGGGCGCAGAGCTGGGACGGGCTGCATCTGTTTCGGAAACCGGGGCGTGGCGACTTTATTGAGCCCAAGAATGTGCTCGACAAAGACATGAGGGAGGCCATCCTCAAGCTGGAACGACGGGGTGAGGAGACCAGACGGCGGTTCGAGCAAGACCACAGGCACGAGTCGTGGTTTCAAGAATGGGCTGCCATGCCTGAATCTGGCCAGGGTACTGAAACCGATGACGTAGAGGACGCGGCGCTCTGGCGAGACCCTGGGGTTTCCGAGCTCAGATCGTAGCACAGCTCTCCAACGTTGCTCTGTTTTGGAGCTCTTTTCCAGCGGAATAAGCTGCTTCAATTAATATTTTTATTTTCCTTCTCAACTTGTTGCCGTGTTGCCCTGCAATCTGCATCTTTTCGTGGTCGTCGGCGAACCTGGCCGGGGGTACGCCATCTCATTGGCCCTTATAAAGCGGGGCCAGCCCCACAGCCGACAAACCCCAACAGACCGTCCGTGCACCACCACTGCCAAGCCCAACTTCGAGACGCTCATCGTCAGAGGCAAGTTCCTCCGGGCAAAGCAACATGGCTGCTTCCACAATCGTTAGGATAATGACAGTAAATCTTCACAGTTTACAGGGAGAAATGGCACGGCTTTTTTTGATGGGGCGTTTTATGGGGTTTTTATGGGGCGGAATTGGTCCGTGCTTGGAGCATGGTTTTTCTCGGAAAAGGAACCTTTCGGAAGTACTCGTTCCTCGCACGTTCCTCCAGGCATACCAGCTTGCCCCTACCACGGTGATCCTGACCGTGATACCCGGCACAGGTATGAGCACGCCATGTCTTGGGGCATGGGGGCGTAGACTGGGAGCATTGGATGAAATGTCAGGGCTCGTTTTTAGCACACGAACGAAAAAGCGTGTTCAATTATCAGCTCTTCGCATTTCACGGCACCGGAACCCCCACATCCCCGTGTACACGACGATATCCACAACCCTCGTTCTTCTAGAACATGGAGTTCGGAATCGGAAACGTTGACCAACCACAGCAGTCATTCCTCGCGCATGAGCAGTACTAATATTGAGCCTGTCTATTCTTGGTTATCGAAACCAAGCGTGCCCCGAGCATGTCGCAATCATTGCACGAATTGCATCAAAGGAGGAGGCCAGCCGTGGTTGGCCGGATTTTATACTCTCATACCCGGCCCCGCGGGTCCGATGGCGTGCCGGCCCACGCCGATGACATCAATACACGCTAGCGAAGTGCTACCGCGGTGTTAACTCCGTTCATGATCCTGAGAACGGAGTCGTTCTTTGAATCCGGCAACAACGCACTCGGCTCCCCTTGCCGTCATTGGTTCGAGATACCATGGTGCCACATGCCCAGGGGCTAGTCAGTGGCCCCCACGACCTCGCCTGGCACCGTTGGATCCATTCTTACCAAGAAATGCTGTGGTGTTGGAGCCAGAAACAAGGGACAAAATGGATAGGGCTGCTACCACGAGGTGGGATGGGGCCCTTCATATTTATGCCATCATCTCTCGCTCCCCTTCCGCTCTTGTTACGCGTTATGGTGGATTGCAAAATATAGAGCTCCCCCGAAGATTGCTAGGCCAGAAATTATGGCAGACGAAAAAAAGATCTCCGAGTTCTCCGAAAGCCAGCTCAGCAGGAGTGATGACGAAGGCCAGGAAATAACGTGGACGGAGGAGGAGGAGAAGGCATTGGTTCGGAGGTACGATCTCGCGGAGATATGCAACATTCAAGCTCAGGGTCATGAAAAGGAATTGCTAACATATGGGTCAGAATTGACTTCCTTGTCATGCCGTTGCTCATCCTCGGCTTTTTTGCTCTGCAGCTTGATAGAGGAAACATGTACGTCGTCATCCCATCATCTCCCGCTCACGTCCTAACAAGATTTTGTTGGGTAATAGCGGAAATGCGTTGACGGATTTCTTCCTTCAAGATGTTGGTATTACACAATTTCAGTTCAATGTTGGCCAGCAGCTGCTGTCTGCCGGTATTGTCCTGCTTGAAGTGAGTCCTTTGTACGGGTCTAGCAAAATTGGGAATGGCGACTCACCATCATCAGATTCCAAGCAACCTTATCCTCTACAGGGTTGGACCGGCGGCATGGATCGGGGCCCAGATCGTTGCTTGGTAAGTTTTAGTGGCGTTTCTCGCTACTTCAAGTTGTGAGCTCACATACGATAGGGGTCTTGTGGCTGCCTTCCAAGCATTCCAAAAGGGGTTGGGGCCGTATCTTGCAACCCGCCTACTACTTGGGTATGATTCTGGCATGGACCCCCTTCCAGTGGAGCAGAGCACTAACTGTAACGAAGCCTCTGTGAAGCCGGCTTCATCCCTGCTGGGCTGTTCACAATCACACGCTGGTATAAACGCGATGAGACATCGACGCGATTCTCGGCCTATTTTATTGGCAACATGCTGGCGGGCGCATGCTCCGGCCTCATTGCTTATGGGATGTAAGTACCTATTTATCGTTAATGCAACCAAAAGTGAAAGCCTGCTGACCTCTTTAGTCTGCACATGAGAGGGATAGGGGGTCTTGCCGGTTGGCAGTGGTTGTTCCTGGTCAGTGTCGATATCTTGACCCCATGTTTTTGGAAACGCGCGTGTTCTAACCCAACACAAATGAAGATCGAGGGTCTCTTCACAATTCTTGTCGGTGTCCTGTTTGTCATGCTCTTCCCACGGTCTTCCGGCAACCCCTTTTCTCTCCTCAGATTCCGATACTTCAGCGAGCGGGAGGCACAAATCCTACAACAGCGAGTCCTCCGTGATGACCCGACAAAGTTCCAGCCTCGCCGGAACGTTAGCTGGGCTGAGGCGAAGTCCACTGTGGGTTTCCTCTAATAACGTCCAACAGATCAAATATCTAACATTTGACAGTTCACCAACTGGCGACTCCTCCCTCACATCCTACTAACACTTACATGCTTGGCACCCGCGACCACCATGGGCTCCTACGCCCCGTCACTCGTCGTGTCTTTCGGGTTCGACCGGCTCAAGTCAAACGCCATGATTTCTATTGGTGCTTGGTGTTTGATCATTGGAAACCTCTTATGGGGTTTTATTGCCGATAAGACCGGACGTAGGGGTCCTCTGGTATTTTTGGGTATCTTCATTCTTTGGGGGCTGACGGTACGTCTATGCCGCAAGTTATTCTAGTTGGGGGGCATCCAACTCTGACAGTACACACAGCTCGGGAACCGCCTTCTTGTCGAGTCCACCAACGGCAACCTCCGGTTCGGCGTGCTTACCGCGGGCATCGCTTTCCAAGCCACGTTCCGTAAGCTCCTCGTCCTCTTTTCACTCAACCTCAAGACTAACATCACCATAGACGCCGTACACGGGTCCTGGCTGGCCCTCAACGCCAAAACTGCTGGCGAACGATCCATCACCATGGCTCTTTTCATCATGAGCGCGAATCTATCAGGCATCATCGGCAGCCAGCTCTTCCAAGCGACGGATGCGCCGCTGTACAAGACAGGATGGACTGTCATCCTAGTATTAGTCTCACTTGGGGTGGTTATGTCCATCGCCGCAAATGTCCAGTACTGGGTGTTGAATCGGGTCCAGAAGCGAGTGGGCGAGGACAAGTATCACTATTGACTAAATAGATTTAATAGGGGGAGCCTAACGACCGCAATGCATATAGCACATGGAGCATACGTATAAAAAACACACTTATGATTATCCACACAGCTCTGCTCTTTGCTGGGCTATCCTCGATTACCTAGGTATGTTTGTTTGGCAGAGTCCGTAAAGGGACGGTTCGGGATATCTTGGGTTTGTCTTCACCCGTGCAAGAAAAGTAAAAAAGAACAGTGCCCGGCCAACCGGCTTTGGCCCCCCTGCGCCATCCACCAAGTCAAACCCCAAGGCCCCCCTCCCCAGCAATTACCTATGCGATCCCACAGTAATAATCCAAATCCGTAAAAAGCTGATTATAATCCTCGCTCGATCCCATCACAAAGCCATCCCACAGCCCATCCAAACTCAACACCCCCTCCCCCCCTACCATCACCCCCTCGGCATCACCACCCACCATCGACGGCACCACATCCCCAGCCGCGGCCGCCGCATCCACAACAGGTCCGAACCGTGCCGCCGGCGCCTCCCCTATCTGCCCCGGCATCGCCCGCCAGTGCAGCTCCTCAACCCCACCACCACCACCACCAAGCCCCTGTTGCTGCTGCTGCTGCAACCCCCCCATCTGCACCTGTCCCCCCTGCTGCTGCTGCTGCTGCTGGCTGTTGCATCTGCTGCGGGTCCCCTCCACCTCCATCCCCATCGCCACCATCCACGCCCGTCCCCCTGCACGCGATACCGCGCTAGCAGTCCCGACCAGGTTTCCGCAGCAGGTCGGCCGTCCACCGGGGGACTCTGCGCCGAGCGCTTTCCAGGGACTCGTGCAGGTTTGGGGAGAGCTCCGTCTGACATGGCGGCGCGTTTGGAAGAGGGGGTCGCTGGTTGGGGGTTGGGGCTTGGTGGGCGCGGGTGATGATGGTGTTGGATGATGGTATACGATTGTAGGGTCTTTTATCTCTTTGTTTTTTTTGTGTTT